TCCAGAGCAGAATTCTGTACAGGTGTGAACACAGGGTCATACAAGGTCATAAAGCCCTTCCCAAATGACTGAGGCTCCTGCAACACACAGGCACTCTGTCTCACTGTGTTTCTTTGCCTACGTGCTGTTATTTTTCCACCAACACTCCGTCTTCCTCTTTGTTTGGCCCAGATTCTGTGGACGTTCTCCATCTACTTGGAGTCGGTGGCCATCCTGCCCCAGCTTTTCATGATCAGCAAGACTGGTGAGGCCGAGACCATCACCACCCACTACCTGTTCTTCCTTGGACTCTACAGAGCCCTCTACCTCATCAACTGGATATGGAGGTTCTACTTTGAGGGATTCTTCGACATGATCGCCATTGTCGCTGGGGTGGTGCAGACCATCCTCTACTGCGACTTCTTCTATTTGTATGTAACAAAAGGTGAGTGCCACTGCAGATTTCTTTCATTTTATAAAACAGATAGACGGTGAGAGTGTTTTCTTTTGCTCTGTTAGTTGGTTGGGTATCAAGCAGTTAGCAGTCAAACATTATCATAATCTTTCAGGCCCACCAGGCATCAATAAATATTTTATTTAAAGACATACTATGAAGGATTTTTACATTGCTGTTTGAAAACGCACCATTCAAAGTTGGCTGGCTGGCTGAACTGAGATCAGTGATGGTAGAACAGGGTGGAGGGTGATTGTTTAGCAGCGGTTACGTCTGATGCACCTCCACAGTGTCCGCACAATCCTGGAGAAGGTGCACATTGCTGGATTCTGTGCCGAAGCTGCACTGATCGACAAACAGACACGCAGACCAGCAGCTCTTTATACATTCATAGTCTCGCATAGACCGATCTCCACAATTCGTTTTAGCGCTGTGCTAGCACTCGAGAGCAGAGAGAGAGAGAGACGCCTGTGTGCTGCCCAAAGGTTGACGCACAGAAGGCTGCAGGGTCTCTGCTGATACAGACACTGCCACACCCTTCTAAACAGTCTATACATTGTTTTTTTAGGAACAATGGACTATACACCTTTCACACCATACTTGCATTGCACTTTTCTTTCTCATGTATATCACTGACACTTTTTGGACGCTTTTTTAGTAGGGACAGGGTATTATGTCTGCAGTTGGACGGATGCAGACTTAGAATGGGAATAGAAATTATATAATATATATAATAGAAACTCTTTCCTGGTCGACATCTATAACATAAACCAAATTCAAAAGAGCTCTGTAGGTTTAATTTACTACCATGTTTGAATGTGTGAATGTGAATGTGTCATATGGTCTGTGTTAAACATAAAGGCGTCCTGTCTTGTTTCAGTACTGAAAGGAAAGAAGTTGAGTCTGCCAGCTTAAGTGCCCAAAGAGGAGTGTTTCGCAGACTCATAGAGGGGGATCGAAGGGGAGGAGGAGTGGTAGTGAACACCTCTGACAAGCCCCCCATACCCCCCACCCCACACCCTCCACCACCGCTTTCCTCCTCTTCCCCTCCCGCCAACGTAAGATGCCTGAGACAGAGAGCGAGTGGGAGCTGCTGACTGCACTTTCTTCTGATCCAGAATCAGTGGAATCAGAACACCTGCAGAGGCTGGTCCATGGCCTTCGGATTTCTGTTTGACGCATCTTGCCTTAACTTTTTTTATTACTGTATAAAGGAAGAAAAAAAAAAAAAAAGCGAGAAAAGTTTTCTACAGAAAAATGTGTACTCCTGAAGATTTGACACATTGGTAAATAAGAGCTGAAGATGTAAAATTGCCTCTGATTTGGCACTGTATGATATTGAAGCGGACCTCTTGTGGTGGGATATTATTGACTCAAGCGTTTGTAATTATTTGCAATTGAAATAAATGTGCATTGTTTTTCCTGAATCATTTTGGGGAGGAATTTGTTAAATCCTCGTAGGTTTGGTGGTCAAATTATTCATGTTTTGCTCTTCTACTTTTTGACCACTATGCATTCCCATGTATAAAGAATCTTTTTTTTTTTTGTTTCCCAAGCCCTTGTTACAATATAAATTACATTTAGAAGCTGTAATTTAACATTCTCTTTAAAAAAAAAAAAAAAAGAACTTGCACGTAACTCTTGAGGTGTGTGTTTGTTAAAATGCCTTCAGAATGGAGAGGTATGGGTTGCTTCTGTGTTATTTTACTTCTCCATGTTGAACAGAATGCTCATTAGGAAACAACACATGATGCAAGCAAAGGGTTAAAAGGATGCCAGTGCATTCTTATCACTGTAAATTGCTTTATTCATTTGAATAGCCAATGAGGACAGTATATCATCTGTAAGTATACATCATTGCCCAGCCCATTCATTTCAGGTGGCTCCTTTTTTTTTTAAACGTTTGAGATGAGTGAATTCACTAGTATTGTGCTGTATGTGAATAATCATGACAGAAATGGAAGTCTTTAGTTTTTCCTTTTTAGGTGCCGATGTATTTATTTTTAACTTTCTTCCTGGTTTCCAATAAACAGAGTCCGTAGAACTGTCCACCTGTTGTGCATCATTTTAACAGCAGGGATTAAATCTCCCCATCTGAGATGAGCACAATCCTACGAACGCTGTCACACCGGGTCTTAAATACTTCTACAGACATATCTGCTTCCAGTTAAGTTTTACTGCAGATCATTCCAGGTTTCCTTTTCATTTCTTACCAGAGCTTTTGCATGATGTTGCCACCACAAATAAAGACTTTATGGGAACATTTTGTCTCGGTGCTGTGGTTACAATGAGCCTAAAAGAGTACTCCACTGATTTAGCGTTGCACTCCTACAGCACTGTCGGACTCACAAGGAGATTTTTTCTAAAAGAACCAGAGCTGGGGTCTTTATTCCACATGTTGTATATAAAAACTGCCTACATTACCCACCATGCAACTCAACCACTGACAGCTGCCGTGTTATGCTAGTAGCGGCTAATTGGACCTCTTGCCTCAATCAGAGATGAGGAGTGGTCTACAGATGTTTGGTAAGCTCGCTTCTTTCCACTAACAGATTTATAAAATCGTAGTCTTAAACCGAAAGTGACTCAAGTCACATAACTTGAGGCAATTTATCAGTGAAGTTCCCTTTTAAAGGTCCACTGTGTAACATTTAGGAGGATTTATTGTCAAATTTAATATAACATTCATAGTTATGTTTTCATTAGTCTATAATCACCTGAAAATGGGAATCGTGTTTTCGTTACCTTAGAATGAATTGTTTTTATCTACAGAGGGCGCGGATCTTCTTCTACCGAGTCTGCCATGTTAAACCGCCATGTTTCTACAGTAGCGTAGAACGGACAAACTAAACACTGCCTCTAGATAGGACCGTTCATGTTTTTTGTACAGTTCTCGTAAATGCTTGGAAGGCAAAGGGTATTCCGTTGTTTGCAATCTGCAACTTCACCAGTGGATGCCACTAAATCCTACATACTGGTCCTTTAAGGAAATCATTGCAGCTGAAAAAATGCAATTTTGAACAATCCTTTAGTGTTTACATATCAGCTTTAACTTAGTTTTACATTTTGTGAACGGGGATATGCAGCTTGACATGCACTCTTATCATTAAGAGCATGGTATGGATGTTTATTATATGAAGTAACAAATAGAGCAGGGTTGTGTTCTTACTGCAGTGTTTCAGTGTTTGGGTTGGACCCCGGTGTAGTGGCTTGATATACATACGAGGATGCAGCTGAAGACTGACATACTATGTTTGTATTTATGTGGTACACATTTCCAATTAAAATACATCAAAATATATTTTCTCTCTGTTTGTGTTGTTAAGAACTGACTATAAATATAATTTTTTATTAATTTTATTGATATAAAAACTTGCACATCAAAAGTAAAAGTGTGTGGAGAGAAAGTGTTCACGGGGGACGTAGGGAATCTCCACATTCACACTGACCTCAGTCCATCTTAGGTGATCCATGTACTTCTCAGACATTCATATGCACAGGAAATAAATCAGAGACCAAATGTTGATTAATAAACTTAGAGTTGGGGATATAATATTGATATTCATTCAAGTGAGGTTGTATATATTGTACCATTATTTTATTTATTCAAGTTGTGGTGAATAGGAAAAAACTAATTTATTCAAAATCTGGCTTTTACATGTAGATTAGTCACCACTTTTGAATCTAATTTCTCTCCATACAAGTGGTCAACTATGGAACCTCAAGGTTCAATAATTTTTAAATAAAAGACATTGTGAAATAAATAAAGGAATAAATTAATTGTAAAACAACTCATTATGTAAGACTGACAGAGAATACCAGTACAGGTAGACGGCATTGCCGTCCAAAGTTATTATGAATTCCTCCTCTGTGATGGAATTCAAACCCAGATGTTGCATAGCTCCCTAACACCAGGAGAAAACATGGGCCCTCAAGACAACAAGACACTAATAATTACACTAAATAATTGTATTTATTATATTGTAATAAAGTTCTGTCAGGAATATTTCCACCAGGGCTAGCAGGCCTATAAGTAACCCAGTTTAACCCGGGTGTGAGACTGAAAAATGACATCTGGCACCACTGAGTACAAAAATATCAGTTTATCTTTATTTCTTTAAGTCTCTATATTGGCTCTGATGGACAGTACCGGGCATTAAGATTCTTAATGTGAAAGAGGTGCCCCTTCTTCACGTTTGCCACTGCCCCTAAAGAGTCTCTGCACGCAAACTCCAAACACATTCATCATGCATGTTTCTAATGCTATACAGCTGCCAAGTTAGATGTGTGTTTAGCAATAACACAACTTGTGTGTAGACAGTTTCTATATGAGTACATGGTTGACCATAAACATTCTCACACTGTCTTTTCAAAGGTTCAGCACGTTAAGTATCTGTCTTATATATTAAGTATAAGATTAAAATGCTTCTGTTATTTAAGACACATAGTGAAATACATGGTGATTGGCCGCTCCGGTGGTTTGGTCGGGGCTGGATTATGAGACATCATTTGAGCTGGGAACTGTGGACCCGGACAACCCGGAACAAAAACACTGACGGACCAATCATCGATCTGATGCATATATCTAACAGACCGAAGAAAAAGGGAAAGGAGGAGAAACTCTTTCATATTTTTAACATTTCCCGCTAAACCGCCACAACACACCGTAGTCGAGTGCAGTGGATGTAACAGCGACAGGATGGAAGTTAATACGTCAAAGGGGAACTGTGAGTAACTATTCACCAAGTGCTAAAACACTAACTTACAGCTAGCTAACGGGCTAACTTCACTGATTGTTACGGAGGAATTGTGACTGCGTGAAGAAAGCATCGTTAGCTAATGTCAGCCGGAGCCCGGCACTGCTGTTCACCAGAACCTCAAAAGGAGAAAAACTCTGTTTTTTCCCTGGTTAGGAAGTAAACGGAAATCTTCTGTTTGTTAAACACAACTTGTGGACAGTTAATGTTATTACTGAGTCCTTACTGTGGGAGTCGTGGGTTCGACTCCCACCTGTGACTCCTTACAGCCCTCCTCTCCTCCTCTCCTCCTTTCCTGTCACTCTCCATACTGTCAGTATTAATTACCTGTGTGCTGATAATTGTTGAAGCATGTATAATTTCTTATATGTTTTCTACAAGCTTATATTATTGTGTTGTTTAAGTTATATCATTGTTTTTTTTGGTCATTTCTCCATGAGGAAAAACACAATTTCCACCACAACAATGTGTTAACACTACGACTGATCCAAGCCTCGGTCTGTTAATGTTGACAGTTAAGAAAACAGGTAAAAGTTAGTTGAATTCAAAGAATCAAGACAATGCGTGGTGTTAAGGTAACCTGCTTCTGTTGACATCCAGGTACCCATCTCCCCCTCTCCGCTCTGCGCCTCCTGGTCCCACCGGTTCGGCTGGTCTCAGCAGCGATGTGGCAGACCATCCAGCAGAAGGTTGTGGCTGATTATGGGATGCTTGAGGAGTTTGTTTCCATGGTTACAGACATTGTTCCAGAGCTTCTCACCATTCGCCAGAGGGTCCAACTTATCCTGGGCCTCAGAGCACGGGTGAGAGGGAGCAGTAGTCCGATACTGACCGTTAAGAATGACCAGAAATGTGAATATGTAATACCATCAATAAAACGTCGTCTTCTTTCAGAAATGGTGAAATCAGTTGAAACAGTGTGTTCAGACACCTAGCTGCTGAATGTTGGCATGTAAGACGCACTTTAGACACAGAATAGGCTGCCGTGACTAAATCACACAATGTGTTTAACAAGGGAAAAAACAACTTGGTGTATATTGCATTTAATAATGAATTTACAAGAGGGCATGAATCATCAAGAGTTGGCCCTAGCCGTTTCTCCTCACTCAACAACTCTCAAAATTGCACAATGTTTTAAGGGAGTCTTGGGATATTACTCAATGGTGAAAACCTGTTGAAACAGACAGCGTGTTCACACCTGCTGCTTATCTTGTGAGAGAGCTCAAACATGCTATTTGCATTACAGTGAACCAAATGGAAATCAGACAGCATGTTTCGTTTGCTTATGGGATGTCAGTTGAGGACATTTGGCCCTTCAATGGCCCTGGACACATTTGTACACAAAAGAATGTGGTCATACGCGGCCCAGCCCACCGCTGAATGTGTTCTGAGCAGTCTGTTGCCTGCACATCTTCATCTGAGCGCTCTCTGTGGCTCCTTCCATTACTCCCTGTCATATTTCAAACTGGTTTGCCATTGTCACGGCCAAAATAATTAATCTGTAGAAAATAAAAAAAATAAAAATTATGCTATCAGTTAACTTCATCTTTAACTTTTATTGTGTGGTTTTCTCTTTTCTGGCAAACTCTACAGTAACACTGGCAACCAGCGTTACACTACTGCCACCTGCTGTGTTAGGGTGTGAACCACAAAGCAGGAATGAAAGAAAAAACAACCATTGAAGAGGCTCTGGATTATTTATTATTAATATGTATTATTAAATTATCAATATTTCACCTTTAAACAGCAATTATCAACATCGGTTTATCACCGTACCCCTACTTTCATCAGTGGGCCTTAGGTGCAGTCACTATTGTGTTACCTCATTGAGTGACAGATAGTGAGTTAACATTTGTTCCTTGAACGTTATTACCATAATTGTTCATTTTACAGCAAAAATATGTCACTAGTTTAATAAGAAGCGATATAATTATAGTTCTTCTTATAAAGCTAGAAGTGTTACAGCTAACTGTGCTAAACTAGCGTTTTCAGAAGTGTTTCCTGCCACAGTGACGCTGTTGTTTGTTGTTTTAGCTGATTCTGGAGCTGTGTCAGTTTGAAGCTACTGCTGACCTTCAGCTCCTTCAGCCACAACTGGACAGAGTGCAAACTCTCATCATGGCGTGGGTAACGGAGGTGAGTTTAAAGTGTTGTTACTTCAGATCAATGAGAAAACAGCAGTTCGTGCGAAATAAAGTTCTCTTTAAAAATAACCACACAATGGAGGGGGAATTGCTTTACAATGGTCGTGTCATGTTCTGCAGGTTGGTGCTGCAAATATGAAAGCGCCACACTCAGAGTTTGTGGATCTAGTTAAGAACTTGCTGACAAATCCTGACGAAAGGGAACACTTCTTTCAGGTCAGTGTTATTGTAAATCCTGTATTTCTGATTCTTTAATGAGGTCAGTCATTATAGTTTTCAAGTGTTAGACTGAATATACTTTCAGAACATTTTCCCTGAAGAGTTTGGTCCCACATATGATGAAGCACTTCACACCTTGATGTGGATGTTCCTATCCAGACTTGAAAAGTTCCTTCCTCTTCAGACTTTCCAACAGGTACATAAATGATGGACATAGGTTGTTACACTGTCATGTTGGTATCTCTTTGGGCTAGCTCTGATTTTTGCTGTTTTTTAATCTCCCTTTCTTTCTTCAGGTTGCCTCCATGTTTGGTGAGGTGTCCTCAGTTCTGGAGGAATGCATGGACTCTGTGTGTCGACGTGAGGACCTCAAAACCCTCCTGCATTATCAAAAAGACCTCCGCCAACTGGATCACAATGGCAAGCCTTTCTTTCACTTTTGCTTGATGATTGAGTTAAACAACATAAAACATCAGTGAATGCAGCTTTAGATATTTTTTCTCTGAATGATTGGCTTGGAAAGATCTAATGTGTAGCATACTGTTTGAATAATGAATGACACTGAACAGCAGGTGTCTAGCTTTAGCCTTTTCCACCATCTTATTGCAATATTTCTTCTCATTTCAGATGGGTCCTTGGATGGCGCCTGCATTATTTCAGCTCTCAAACTTCCCTCTGTGAATAGAACTGAGGCAGATGAAACACAACCAAAGGCCAATGTCTTGAATAATGTGCTATCGTGTGCATCAGATATGGAGAATCAATCTTTAACATTGCCTCATACAACACAGGTAACAAAAGATACGATCACAGAAGGCCAGATAAGCGAGATAAAGGTTGATGAAACTAATCGGACTCCTGGGGAAAACAAAACGGCGGTGCTTTTGGGTGATGTCACGAGACATAAGGAAGCAGTAGGCCCTGTGGAGAATGCCCCATACCATGTAAAACAGTGCCATGTTCAGCTAAACAAGCTAACGTCTTTGCAGTCTCGACCTGTGAGACGAAACAGAGGCCTGAAGATGAAAAAGATCCTGTTAGAGGAGAAAAGAAGTCTTTGTGAAGAGGGCCTCTCTGCCTGCAAATCAGCTTCTAAGAAAACAAAACTTTCAGAGGGCTCTGACGAGGATTCAAGCAGCTACATCAAACAGTCGTATTTGGCTCCTGTCAGTGATTGCAGTGAAAACGACTCATGGTCTTACTACTCAGATAAGGGCTCTTGCTATAATACTGCTAGTAGCAGTCCCAGTGTGGCTGACTCATGGTCTAACTACTCAGGCGATGAGGGCTCCCCTGTCAGGGTTTATGCCGAAGATGATTCTTTGTCTAGCTGCTCAAATGGGGACCCTTCCTTCACAAGTCCTAAAAAAGTATCAGCTACCAGCAGAAAGCAGGGTACCTCCAGCATCAAAGCCAGCGCTCAGAAAAAGCCCTATAAAGACCCATGCTTTATCTGCAAGGAGCACTTGAACACTACCCTGGGAACTCACATGAAAACCCACTTTCCCACTGGTGATTACGCCTGCCCGCGATGCGACAGCAGGTTTAAACTCCTCTCATCTTTGAAGCTGCACATGAACAGAGTGTGCTTTGAGTACAGCCAGCAGCCGAGAGTAGATCCGGAGAAGCCGGATGAAGCTGCGAATCTGTACAAATGTGACAAATGCCAAGAGGCATTCAGGTACAAAGTTTCACTGGACAAGCACAAACTGACCCACGACGAACTCTACTGCAGAGTGTGTAGGAAGGTGTTACGGGACGCAGCAGCGTTGGCGAGGCATAATGCTTCTCACACCTCGTTCCAGTGTAACCGCTGTGAGGAGACCTTCACCCATTTCAAGCCCTTGGTCAAGCATTGCGAAAACATCCATAAAATCATCAAGCCTTTTAAATGCAACCATTGTCCGAAAACCTTTTCCAAGCTGCGCCTTTTAATCAGACACGAGTGGAAACACACGGGTCATCTACCGTTCCGGTGCGCTCAGTGCGGCTGGCGATTCAAAAACGACGCAGATCTCATTTCCCACGAGAGAGTCCACACGAGAGAGAAACCCTACCTGTGCGCAGAGTGCGGCAAGACTTTCGCCCAGAGTTCCAACTTGTTGCGGCACTTGAATTTCATCCACAGCGAGTCTCGAAATGAGAAGAGGCATTCTTGCTCCGAGTGTGAGAAATCCTTCAAAGACAAAGGAGCCCTGAAAAAACACCAGAAAAGCAAACACTTGCATGAATTGTTCCGTCACCCATGCCCGTTCTGTGGAAAGATGCTCTCTGCATCAACAATCGCAAGACACAAATTAATCCATACGGGAGAGACGCCTTTCAAATGCACCATGCCTGAATGCGACAAGGCCTTCAGGTCAACTGCTGAGGTGAAGAGGCATGTCCTCATTCACCATACGACAGAGAGACCATTTAAATGTGATGTCTGTGGGAAGGGCTTCATAAAAATGTGTTATCTCAACGCTCATGCTAAAATACACTCCGGAGAGAAGCCATTTGTTTGCCATATCTGCGGCAAGGCGTTCCCCAAGCTCTACAGCATGCGAAGACACAAAAAACTTCTACATACCAAAAGTATGTAGAAGTTTACATAGTAGCCCCACATGGTTATTTATTATTAAACTGAGCAACAATTTTACACATCAAAGTGTGTTTCAAGCTGTTGGGCAGTACTACAGCTTAAACAGTTGTACAAGGCCATTAGTGTCTCTAGAGGGAGCTGTGCAAAGTCTGATAGATGTCCTCAACAGATGTCACTTGAGTCGGTTAGGGCTGAAGACTACAAGTTTGAAAATGAAAAAAAACCTGGGGTTGTGAAGTTAATTGAGCTTACCATAAGAATGTGTGTGAATGTTTGGGTGAGCTGCCATTGTTTCCTGTTACGGACGAGTGGAAACTGACTGCAGCCAATGAGAGCAGCTCAAGTCACAGTAGGTCAACCCAGACCATGATGCCGTCCTCGAAGCCTCCTCCACAAACCAATGGGTGACACCACGATAGGTTTACAATTAGTTTTGAAAAAAGAAGGAAAAAGAATGTGGAATAAAAATGCATTATATGTGGTTCTGCTGTATTGATTTTGATCCATTTTTTTAAAATGGCCATTGTGGGTCCAACAATGTTACAAAAGTGTAATGCAATATTTCTACAGTACTTTTTTAAGCATTACATTGGTCAAATCTGATCTCGTCACAGATTATGTGTATAACTCACTGCAATTTGTGGAATCTTTGTTTACTGTGTAGCTATTTTCTATTTTTCTTGACATTGAGATAATGTAAAAATTACATTAAAATGATTGAATTAGTCATATTGACTCATTTGTGGTTGCTGATCAATTGTGATGGTCCCTGTCCAACATGCTGATGTGCTGATGTGGTGGACAAGTTATTGTTTTTCCTATGTGTCCTTGAAGGTACCATCAGCAGCGATTTGAAGCATGTGGGTCAGGTGCTCCTCAAGGATAAGAGATTCAGATTCCCTTTGAAATCCATGAAACACTACCGCTTTTGTCCACAGGGGCCGCCAGAATCACCATAGAATGGAAGTTTCTTGTAGATGCTTTAATTTCTAAGTTTGATTTGCGATATATTAGACTATTTTTATCTGGGGATCTGCGTAAAAAACGAAATAAATCCATAATGTTATAAAACAAAACATGAAAAAGTCTATGGCTGGGGGATACTTCATCCACTGTATGTGTTTATTTCCTGTTTTCTGTCAAACATTGCCAAACATCATATATCACGAGGTTAAATTGTAACGTTGTTGGGAAATTTGAATCAACCTAATGTGGCATTGCATAAAACAGATGAATGCTTGCAAACTAAAAGGTTGTGGGTTCAAATAAATACATTACGTCTCCGTTGGGACTGCGTTTATATGCTGTTACTATTTTTAAAACTATTTCATGTTTTTAAAATAGTTGCAGCACCACCCACATGTTAAACAGTTTTATATTTTTGTTTATATTATTTTTTCTTTGAGACATAAAATATTAATCTTTCTTTATTTCATCAATTGTATTGCTTATGTTTTATGTGTCTATGAGTGGGAAGATTAAAAGCCCATTGAAACCGTGTGTATTTATCCTATTATGTTAAACACATGAACACTGTTGTTGTGTGTTGCTGATTTGGAATTGAACACGTTGCATGTGTGGGTGTAAAACTATTTTTAGGTTGAAATCTCGAAGCTATACATTATGGGACAGAGGTAGAGAAAAGGCGGAACTTGTCACAGCCAGCTGCCTCCCGTCGGACTGTTATTCCGGACGGAACGCAAAGCAACCGTTGACGCACAAAGATCGGCTGAGTGACTTCGGACTCTGGGACGCAACCACCGTGAGAATCTCCCGTTTGACTTCGGTCGAGCGGCTGACCTGGCTGTCCCTGCCTGTGATGTGAGTGCAGTGAACGCACAGCATGGACGGAGGTGTTTCACAGTTACCCGGTGAGTAGTGACGCTAACAGACACGTTTGTTTGGCTAGGCCGAAACACAGCCCGCGCGCGGGAATGCCGTTGCTAGCTTTGTCGGGAAATCGCAGTTTCTTAATCACAATACACTACGCACCTCATTTAAATTGAATTTAGACCTTAAGTGGTACCCCGTGGTCCATCCTCCCATGGAGACGTTCAGCTAGGTGCATGTTTCTGCATACATTAAGTGGTAGTTGTGGTGTAGCTACGTGCTAACGCTAGGCTGTAGCTTGTGCTATCTGAGCTAACGGCAGCTCAAGTGGCTGCAGTGCACTCAGACTATCAGACTATCAGACTATCAGACTACTAACAGCTGAACTGACGCACACTGTTGGAGAAACAAATACAACTTTATTTGCGTGGTTGTTGTTGGTAAATACATTTACAAACCACTGTTTATGATGTATCCACATATCGACGAGTAATATTAAGTCAATCTTAGACTTTATCACGGAAATGATAGTAGACACATCCGCCTCAACCACAGCCTGGCTGTCATCGGTTATGCGTAGTTTCCAAAGAAAAAGTAATCCTTTGAACATTAGATGAGACCACAGCTTTGTCATCAGTTTATTGGTTTATGATGGGCGTATCAAAGACGGGTAAATAAGGGGTTAAACATCAATGGTTTATCTGGTCCACCGAGATGTTAGACCCGAGCCTTCCAGATGATGTGATAATGGGTCTCTTACTGGGAAACTGTCAATGGTTGAATTGTGAAAAGAGGCTTTGGATTAGTTTTTTATGCCTCCTGTTTGTGCCTCTGGTGTTATTACATCCAGATCACTGAGATAAAATGCTGTTTACCCAAACAATACTGAAAACAGATCACTGAGATAAAATGCTGTTTACCCTGACTTCGTGTCAGACAGTCACTTTTGGTTTTATTTGCGTAGGTTTTCCACAATACAGCATTACAGTTACTGTCATCAGTTACAATGATCTTTAAGGAAATTAAAACAAACACTTAATCTATCAGTCTCTCAAAATATTATGTCTTATACTTCTTTACTAACACTAATACAGTCAGATTTAATAGCTTAGATAAATAATGAATGCGATACATTTATTTCCAGACCATGGTATTAGTACTCTGCTGCATCCCTACTCACAGCATTGAAAAATTACCTTCTGAATAAAGAAGCAGCAACATTTCTGTCCATAAATTACACAGAATATCACCCCACCCTGTCTTGGACTAAACACTGAGTCTGCACATTGGGTTCGATCTTGATCTAATTTGAAAGTGTTACTGTGTCCTCCTTTCAAACAACACATCTCCCTGTTTGCAGGTCCCTCTCTTCCCCTCTCTGCTCTGCGGCTCCTGGTCCCACCGATTCGGCTGGTCTCTGCAGCCATCTGGCAGACGGTGGAGCAGAAGATTGTGTCAGATTATGGGCTGCTTGAGGAGTTTGTGTTCATGGTTACGGAGATTGTGCCTCAACTTCTCTCCACGAGGCAGCGGGCGGAGCTCATTTTGGGTCTCAGAGCACGGGTGAGGAAGAGTTCTTGGTTTTCAGAGCCAAGAGTATGTTTAGATTGAAGATGAGATTTTTGTGAAGAAGCTATCACAATTGTCAAGTAAGGGATTGCATGTTAACATCACAGGACCAGCAAAGTAGTGCTTCAATGTATTGATCTGTATTGGACTACACAATTGTTCACGATATCCAAATCACAGAGGCTGCAATGTTTAGAGAAAGGTAAAAACGTTGGACAAAACCGCATTAGAAGAAGTTGTTGCAAAAATGATCATTCCCACAAACACAGTATCTGTCAAAATAATTGCAGTTTGATATTTTTATCGTACCGTGCACCCCAAGTACAATTTTGGCATTAAATGTAAGGAGGAGACACGTACCCGCACAAACCACAGTTCCACAGTTTGTGGAACTCAAGTCTGGACCTAAGCTTGTTTATTTTGCTGCATTTTTGAAACAGCGAGGATTGATGATGCAAGCTGTCATATTCCTTTTATCTGTCGCAGTGCTGCGACTCACTGCACCTTCATCTGGATGATGCAGCAGTTGGCATCGCTGACAGCCTCAAATTTATATTGGACAGTTTGACGTTGATTGCAACCAATCAGTGTCAGACTGATTTTATTGGACCTATCTTGGACAGTGACACTTGCATTAAAGTTACACTGCTGTTGTCACAGAGTGTAATGGTGGCTTAAGACTCATAGTGATTCTTGCAGTCAATTTAATGGATTTTAGACCGCAAACAAGCCCTCATTATAACAGGCCATTACTGTGCTTCGATCCCGGCAGTGTGTGTAGGCCTTCAGAAGGAACATTTGCGTTTTTCTGTGCATGCTTTACTGCAGTTGAATAATGATGTTGCAGTGTGATGATTACTTTTAAAGAAGCTGGATGGAACAGAGCTGTTTTAAAATTGATTACACTGAATTTGGGAAGATCAAACTGGCCTGCACACATTCTCCTTCTCATCCATACTCTTCATGTGTTGGGAGGGGGAAAAAAAATCTCCTGGTTGTGTCTCCTTTTCTGTACTTGTGTTAAAATGGTGCAAAGGCCTTTTCAAACTAATCCTACCCCTGCAATATTCTTTTTTTCAGCTAGTGTTTGTTTTGCATTACCCTGTTGGGGCTGTATCAGCGTCCCTCCTTCTAGCAGCCTCTGCTTTTTGCACAGCACGCTAATTCTGGAAATAGTTTACAGTGGTGTTGAAAAGTGTTAGCCCCCTTCCTGAGTTCTTTTGTTGTTGTTTTTTTGCATGTTTGTCACACTTAAGTGTTTCAGATCAAACTAATTTAAATATTATACAAATATCACCACAAGTAAACACAAAATGCAATTTGTAAATGAAGGTGTTTATTATTAAAGGTGAAAAAAAATCCAAACCATCATGGCCCTGTGTGAAAAAGTGATTGCCCCCTAAACCTAATAACTCTTAGCAGCAACAACTGCAACCAAGCGTTTGCGATAACGTGCAATGAGGCTTTTACAGCGTCCTGGAGGAATTTTGGCCCACTCATCTTTGCAGAATTGTCCTAATTCAGTTACATTAGAGGGTTTTCGAGCATGAACGGCCTTTTTAAGGTCATACCACAACATCTCAATAGGATTCAGGTCAGGACTTTGGCTAGGCCACTCCAAAGTCTTCATTTTGTTTTCAGCCATTCGGTGGTGGACTTGCTGGTGTGTTTAGGATCATTGTCCTGCTGCAGAACCCAAGTTCGTTTCAGCTTGAGTACACGAACAGATGGTCGGACATTCTCCTTCAGGATCTCTTGGTAGACAGCAGAATTCATAGTTCCTTTTATCACGGCAAGTCTTCCAGGTCCTGAAGCAGCAAAACAGCCCCAGACCATCACACTACCACCACCATATTTTACTGTTGGTATAATGTTCTTTTTCTGAAATGCTGCGTTAGTTTTACGCCAGATGTAACGGGATACACACCTTCCAAAAAGTTCAACTTTTGTCTCATCGGTCCACAGAATGTTGTCCCAAAAGTCTTGGGGATCATCAAGATGTGTTGTGGAGAAATTGAGACGAGCTTTGATGTTCTTTTTGCTCAGCAGTGGTTTTCTCCTTGGAACTCTGCCATGCAGGCCATTTTTGCCCAGTCTTTTCCTGATGGTGGAGGCATGAACGCTGAGTGAGGCCTGCAGTTCTTTGGACGTTGTTGTGGGGTCTTTTGTGACTTCTTGGATGAGTCGTCGCTGCGCTCTTGGGGTACCTCCTGGGAAGGTTCACCACTGTTCCATGTCTTCGCCATTTGTGGATAATGGCTCTCACTGTGGTTCGCTGGATTCCCAAAGCTTTGGAAATGGCTTTATAACCCTTTCCAGACTGATATCTCAATTGTTCCTGAATTTCTTTGGATCTCGGCATGATGTGTAGCTTTTAAGGATCTTCTGGTGGACCTTACTGTGTCAAGCAGGTTCTATTTAAGTGACTTCTTGATTGAGAACAGGTGTGGCTAGAGAAATCAGCTTTCCACAGATGTGATAAACCACAGTTAATTTATGTTTTAACGGGGGGGGAATCAGTATCTATAACTATAACTATATATATATATAGTTGAATAAGATGTCAGTCAGGAGGCTGATGTTCAGCTCTGCACTGCAGAATCACTGCTTCATTATTGCTGCTGTTCTCTTATTCTAGCTGATCCTGGAGTTATGTCGCTCTGAGGAGACTGCTGACCTCCAGATTATTCAGCCACATCTTGACCGAATGCAGAACCTCAGATCCCTATGGAAAGTGGAGGTGAGTCCAAACCTGCAGTCAACACTAAATAAATGGAGTGGTTCTTCTGAGGTTGGGGTTTTACATTTGTTTACGTCACTGTTTGTACAGACCCAGGTGTTTGCTTTTAGGTTTTTTTATCTTATTTCAGTCACCTGCTATATATAACAGAGTATGGCATTATAATACTCTAAAGTAACACTTTACACACCGTGTTTTATTGCAGACTGCTAATGCCGAACAAGAGGCCTCTGACTCACATTTCATGGGCCTCGTCCAAAACCTGCTGCGAGATCCTGAAGAGAGAAGAAACTTTTTCCAGGTAAGTTCTTTGTTTTATGATGTGCTGCTGTTTGCCCTGTACTTAAAAATGCATGGTTTGTACGGACTGCTCAGGTATTTGACATGTACTTTGTGTTCCAGGATGTTTTCCCAGGAGACTTTGGCCCCACATATGACAAAGCAATCCAGACATTGATGTGGCTGTTTCTGTCCAGACTCGAAAAGCTTCTCCCCACCCAAACTCTGCAGCAGGTACACATCACTATCAAGTTTGGTGCTTGGTTTTTTTGTATCTAATTGCCACACACAAAGTCTGTGTCAAAGTCCATGTCTGTTTTTATAACTTGTAACGTAGGCTGTTATTGCAGTGTTGTGAAACGTAAAAATGTCGGATGTTTTTTATGCGTTGCTTCATATTCCTATGTTTATATAACAAATTTCACCTCACATTAGGATTCGGTGCTGTTGCCTCACATTACTTTTCATTGTGTCTTTATCAGATTGCATCTCTGCTCAGTGACACCTCATCTGTTCTGAATGAATGCATGGAGAGTTTCTCTCAACCTCAGGAGCTCAAAACCTTGCTGGGCACTCAGAAAGACCTCAGCCAGTTAGAAGACATAGGTAAGCTCATCATTTCAGTGAATTGTTCACAGAATAAAATAGATATTCAACACTTTATGGTTTCGTACAGAAACCAAATACTATTGCAAAAGTGGTATTGTAGATTTGCAAGTAACATCCATCAGAACAATCCAAATCTGTTTGTGTCAATTTGACGGTTCTTGTGACCTCTTCTCTTTTCAGAATCTTTCATTGTTGACAGTGGCATCTTGTCAGCCCTGTGTCTCCCTCCTGTGGAAAGAGTTGTGATTGTTAATGAACAAGCGGAAACGGATGCGGAGAGTGGACTCGTGTATACAGTCTGCACAGAGATGGAGGTGGAATCTGAGAACAAAGAGGTGTACATGGAGGGAACCGGCACATCTGAAGATTGTGCACAAACCCAGTGGTTTGGTCTTGGCAGCGAGGTGAAAGCAGAAATGGACAGTGTGGTAGTTACAGATCCCGTCGAAGGCGCTGAGGCCAGCGAGAGTGAAGTAGCAGAGGACCAGCAGGACGACCAGTCTGGAACGCTGATCATCGGGGAGGACGGCCAGGTGACTGTGCTCGACAGCACAGAGAAGAAGCCAAACAGACGCGGGAGGAAAAAGAAACGCCCTGTAGATGAAGACTTTGAAGTGCAAACCAGAGCGAGAGGCAAACAAGACGATGCGGAATTTGATAGTGCGTGGGATAGACCAGTCCGAAAGAACCGAGGACTCAAGATGAAATGCTACCTGTCGCAGTGGAGGAAATCGGGAAAGACACAGGGCAGTAATACTCCCAACAGCAGCCCTAAAAAGTTTGCCAGATCCCAGACTTCAGCCAAAAGCAATGACTTGGACGAGAGAACATGCAAAGTGTGCGGCAAGGTGGTGAGTCGTGCCAAGTTCTTGGAGCGCCACATGAATCGACACTCAGAGGAGCTGCCCTTCTCTTGTCCTTCCTGTAAAAGGTTTTATAAGAGCTTGCGTTACTTGCAACAACACAGATGTCCAAATATGACGAAAGCAAAGGCTGGCCGGAAAGCAAAGGAGCAAGAGACTGCAGCAGAGGAGGGTGAACAATCATCCAGCGGGGTTCCTTGTGAGGCAACCAGCGAAGAGCAGCCATTAGACAACACAGGCCAAGACCCCGATTACTCGCCCCCTGCAGAGAGATCTTCCAAAGACTTGGGGCAGAAAAGCCCCGAAGGAAACAAAAGTGTGATAGAAGGTCCGTTCTACTGTCCTCACTGCAGCGTCGAGTTTAAGTGCAAACAAACGTTCAGGTTCCATCTGAGAAACATTTGCTACACTGAGCAACAGGTGGATCCTGAGCAGCCCGAGGATGTGAAGCACTGTTTCAGGTGCGATGAATGTGACAAGGCATTCAAGTACAAATCAACGTTGGATTCGCACAAACAAACTCACAACCCGCTGTACTGTGAGGTGTGCATGAAACTGGTACGTGACCCAGAGGCCCTGGCAATGCACAAGGAATCCCACACTCCATTTCAGTGCAACCAGTGTGACGAGAATTTCCCCGTGTTCAAGGCCCTTCACAAGCACTACATTGACGTCCATAATCCCACGGAGCCTTTTACCTGTACCCACTGTCAGACAACGTTTGCCAGTTTGAAGCGTTTCATCAGACACGAGTGGAAACACACCGGCTACCAACCATTTCAGTGCCCTCACTGCAGTAAAAGATTCCGGTCATACTCCGACCTCGTGGAGCACCAGAAAAAACACACTAAAGCGTATCCATTCCTCTGCTGGGAATGTGGCAAGAAATTCCGGCACGGCGTTACACTGACGAGGCACGTGGAGCGCGTGCATCACACCGGCGAACCCGTAACCGAGAAACCCACGCCAACCTTCACCTGCGCTCAGTGCGGGAAGACCTTCACTTCCAGAAGATGCCTTCTGAAACACGACAACTTCCACCACAAAGGGCTGCGTTTCCCGTGTGAGCACTGTGGAAAGGGATTCTTTGGCAAAGACGCTTTGGTGAGGCACACTTTGATTCACACGGGCGAAAGGCCTTTCAAGTGCGAAGACTGCGACAAGTCTTTCAGATCGGCTGCAGAACTAAAGATACACAGGAGGTACCATACTGGGGAAAGACCGTTTAAGTGCAACGTCTGTGAAAAGGGTTTTGTCCAGTCTTGCTTTCTGACTTTACACATGCGAACCCACACAGGAGAGAGACCATATGTTTGTACAGTGTGTACCAGGGGCTTTACAAGCTTGCATGGCCTAAAAAGACACAGGAGACTTGTTCATGCATAGTTAATGTTAGTATGATTCTTATTCCAATGGGGATGTTCTGTTCAGCATTTGCCTATTGAAGGAAGTCAGAGGTTAACAACAGCTGTAGACCTTGAGGAATATGATTCGACCTTGCTCAAGGACACTTCAGCAGCAAGGATGTTGAAGGATGTTTTTCCTTACAATGTCAGCCACACTGCTATCTCTGTGGCTGTCGCAGCTCGGACTGTCCAACTGTGTAACTGTATAGTGAATTATAAAAATGTATCTTTGTATTTTTTACAGAAATGTTTGCTGTAGTTCTACATAAGATTTGTATGTTCAAATGATATAAACCATGGTTCCCTGAGGAATTTATGTCTTTTTCTTGAATAAATGGAACATTTGAACAATTGTCATTTTGTTTGCTCCTGAGGTCATTCATGTGATTTTGAACATTGGTGTTGCTTGCACAGGGTTTGTTGTTGACAGAACTTTGGGCTGGATTTCATGCAGGAGGCAGCAGAACGTCCACAGATTATGGTAACCACTAAATAGACTTTTACAGGAAGGAATATGGGATTTTGTCCTGTGTAGCCATTTAGTTTGAATCGGGGTCTCTTGATTGTAAATAATGGCGTTAACGTTACAATTTTTCAGTCTCGCTTTTAAATGTGTTTTAAGGAAATGTTTTTTGCTCATGCTGTAAAAACTACAAAACTAAATCAATGTGGAACCAATAGCGAAATTCCTTCATATCCTTCGTACTTTAAAAAAAAATTCATTATGGATGTAAAATAGGTATTAGATTGCATTCTTAATGGTCTTTAAAAATAAATTGAACTTGTTTAAACCTTTTTAGCCTGTTTAGTGAACAAATGTCTAATAGTGTTGCTTAAAATTGTGATACTCAACCAATAGATTGCTCATATTTGGTGTGAGCTATAATCGAGAACAGTAGAAGAACTGCAACTGCCTCATGACCAGCAGGCAACAAAGGATATTTAATATCAGGGTTTCTGTTTTTTAACAGTCTACTTTACTCAAAATAAGAGATATTACCCACGGTATCTCAGGCATAACAGGAAAGGCACAAGTGTAATGAATTGCATTAATAATGGCTGTATTACGTTATGGTTGCCAGTCAGTCTTGTGCATTCTGCCTCAAATGCATTGCTTTCTAGGACACTATTGGAACACAGCAACCATTACTGTTATTAGGCACACCTTTGGTTTTCCTGCCAAAACATGTTGAAAAGATATAACAGTGGAAACATATATATAAACTATACAGTACAATATGAGAGACATGCTATTTAAAAGTCAATTTTGTCAGCTGAACATGTTTACTGTATACATTTCTATACCTTTTATACATTTATTTCACCAGCCACAAATTGCCTCAAACTTCATCACAAAGCGATCCCGTGTATCACTCATTCAACTGATTCTGTGAAGTTACATTGCAGCACCAAATGAATAATGTAATGTTGTCTAATTGACAGTATTGGATGAAGCATTAGTACTTCCTATCTATTGTATAAATGATACTAACAGAAATTGCGGTGGTTAATTTCCGTATATTTGCAACATATTTTATTTACAAATTCAGCAGCTTTGGGGTGAAAAACATTTCACCCCAGATGGGACTCGAACCCACAATCCCTGGCTTAGGAGGCCAGTGCCTTATCCATTAGGCCACTGGGGCTCGATAAATGAATATAACGTAGCGTCTCCTTAAATAGAGTACATGATTTCATACATATTGACTTTCCCCACATATCTTAATCTACTAGTGATCTAGCTACATTTAGTGTATGTTTGCGTCATTGATGTCGATATGTTACGTCAGTAACCACCTCAAATCAGTAATCAAATAATGGATAACGGCTGCTGAAGTCGTAGTTAGGTGGTGATTAAAACTCGTCTTTGATCAGTGCTCTTCTCACAAGCACTGATACGTGTTTACTTTTAGTTAATACCACTAATGCAGATAATAATGAGAGTATTTTAGCGTCAGATATTTTTTAAAATACGTTATCAAAGTTGAACGAAAACTCCCTTTAATCTTGAGTGGTGACAGCTCTCTCCGAGCAGGAACCAGCCTCCGTTGTTTTCCTTCTTTCTGCCCAGCAGACTCTGGAGGAATGGTAGCCGGTTAGCTGTTCAGGCAGCAGCTTTTGGATTAACTTGTTATCTGGCATTCGGTTGTTCTGTTAAAATAATGAATTTACTACCGTCTAATCCTCACGGGAATGGGCTCCTTTATGCTGGATTCAACCAGGATCATGGTATGACATGTTTTTTTTCTCCCAAATGGAAATTGGCAACGTCGTTGATGCTAAGCTAACGTTGCTAAACAGATGTCTTCCCAGAGGATACATTTACCATGGAACTGTTTAACAACAAAATATAACTTAACTATTTTATGCTTGAAGTTATCTATCGGTAATACTGCTGCGCCGTTTTCAAGCGTTAACTCAAAGTACCGAACATTAAGTTAATGTTAGCTTTAGCAGTGGCTAGCTGACGTAGCTAGCTACTGCTAAAGCTAACATTACTTTATCTTTTTTGTTGTCAGTTATAGATAACACTTAAGTCAGCTAACCAGCTAATGTTAGGTCAACGTGACATGGGTCGTTAGGTTGGATACAAACATGTGGGTTAAGTTGAAGCACTCAATAAGAACAATGAATATGCAGCTAGGTGAACCAGCTAACTAAAATCGACCATGATACTACAACGGAGTAACAGCTAGCGTTAGCTAGCGAAGCTAAGTTTGACAGTTATTGTCGCATTATTGGATTATTGTTATGTTAGCTGCGTTTAAGATAACCCCAGTCCTTTATTAGTTTGCCAGTGTTCAAATGTAACGTTAGGTAAATGTATATTTGTTTGTGAATAAGTATCTGTACGTTGTAACACTCAGGACTGTTGAGTGTTGTCTTCGCTCCCCACCCACACACATTTACACAGGCCGTGAAGTTAAAGTATTCTTTTTAATTGGTCTAACTTAACTGTAACATAATGAGATTAGTGGTGCAGGGTAGCTTTGTCACAGGTGACGGTAGTGTGAAGTAAGCTAACCTAACCTCACATGACCCCACAGAGAATAGCTATGGCACTCAACATCACTGTCATGTGTCACTTTTACATGAATTCCTCCAGAAGTTAATAATTTGTCCTATGCTCTGTGTCAGCTCTGTATTTGTCTCTTATCACTGCACTAGGGCCAGTTGGTCCAGCTGAAATGAGCACCAGTGTCTTTATGTTGTGTGTTGCCATTAGTGTAAAGGTTGAGGGTGTTGGGGTGTTTACAGGGGAAATAACAGTGAAAAGCTCCTGATGTGAGCAGTGTTGATTGACGTCATCTTTAGTTAGTGATCAGTTTCTGATGGCTGCTTCTTCTTCTGTCCCTCTAGGATGCTTTGCCTGTGGAATGGAGAATGGGTTCCGTGTCTACAACACAGATCCTCTTAAGGAGAAGGAGAAACAAGGTAACAAGCTCTGCAGACATTAATGTTTATAATTAATATTAATTAATATATAATATAATACAATAGAGTGTATACCTACATGCATGTTCACTGAACAGTCTGCCAAGTTGCAACATATTGATTGTAGCTTTGCTCAGGCTGGTTGAACTGAACCCTGGTGTGTTTACCTCCTTGGTGCGGTTCAGGTCAGTGTGAACTCCTGACATGAGTGGTTATTTTTGGTGTGAACACCATTCGAACCAGCATAACATTGTCTCGTATTTGTCATTTAATTGGTTTTAAAAATCCTTTTTTTCTACTGGACTGGTGAAGTAGTAGTGCGTTTTCTCGTCAGAGCCAGACGTCTTATGTGATAAGACGGCAGAGCGTCTTCCTCGAAATGCCTGCATTATTAAACCATTTAATACCCGGTGCAGAGCTTTCCATACGCGCCGGCTCCCAGCCAAACAGCCAACTTCTCATTTAAATGCAGCCAGCTACTTTTATTGCAGTAAAAATGCAGTATTATGTTACAGAGAACATTTCTCACTACTGTAGCTTCACTACAGCAACTGGTGAAACACAAGGTAACATTTATTGTGAAGTAGTCACAGGAAATTCGATGTGCTTGTCAGTGAGATTAGCAAAATGCATCTACAAAACAAGACAATGGTCCTTTTTAAACAGAGAGTGATGGAACAAGAAGGCAGAGCACGAACCAAGTATCAATATAAGTTTCCTGGGTGTTACCTAATTTCTGTCGGGCGAGGCTATTAGTGGAAAATAGAGGAACAATTTTTAAATGAAACACACTAATGTAAATATCGTGACACTGATTATAGGTAAATCTTTTCCCCTAATCAACTGATGTATTTCTAAGCCCATTTGAAGTTGAATGTTCAGAGCACATGATCTGGACAACCAACAGTTGTTTCTGTTGTCAGTTTTTTTTATTTTCTCATTTAATCCGATAACAGTTTAGCCCATAAAATGTCAGAATATAGTGAGAAAAGCCAGTTGCAGTTTCCCAGAGTCCAAAGTGGCGTCATCACATGTCTTGTATTGTCTGGCCAGCAGTCTTAAAACCTGAATATATATAGTTTAAAGTAATATAAAGCAAAAAGGCAGCATATGAGAACTAAGGTTTTTTGGCTTTATTAAATAATTAATCAATTACCAAAATACTTGCTGATTTATCTTCTGTCAGTTGACTTCACACTGCTACTGCTTTGCCATAAAACATAATCAATTCATCTACTGAGGATGCTGCTCCTTTTTCCAATCCTTCCTCTGCAGCTGCACCAGCCCATGAAAAAACAATCTGTCACATTTTCATCGAGGAGTCACAGTTACAGTATGATTTAGCTCGGTTGTCAAGAGATGATGGCGGTCCAGTTCATTGTTCTACCTGATGGGGTTTATTGTTGGTTCCAGCCCTTTCTGTTGATACAGGAATGAGAAGGACTTTGTTTTTGGTGCCCTGCATGTTTAGTCTTATTGTATTTATTCCCTCCAGAAAATACTGTAAGTGGTGCAGTACTATAATGTTTAATCTTTTACATTTTATTTTTGTTGAACAATGACAAGAATTGTGTGAGTGTGTGTGAGTGATGGCATCATTTTCTTGTTACTTTCGGTTTCTTTGTGCCTAATGTGTGATACAAATACCAAATCTACTGTGATAGTATTGTAAAAATAGACATGTCCATTGTTTGAAACCAGTGGTTCCCAACCTGGGGGTCGGGACCCCGACTACGCCAAAGTGTCGTGGCCTTCTTGATTTCAAGGCATGCTAGAAAACATATACACAATAGACCTACATGTCAGCATTTGTTTCACTTGTGTAAAGTAAATGTAAATTGTCTGATAGAACAATGGTCAACTGTCAGGGACAAGAAAACACTGAATTAGTCAAAAAAGAAGATTGTTAAAAAAATCTGCTCAAAATACATCCAAATCACTGTTTTTACACAAACTTCTTGCAGTTTCTGAGTTCATTATTTGGATTAATTACAGTTTTTAATACAGCATAGTCAAGGGTCTGTTTACTAAATGATAGAAAAGGTGTCCCTTGAGGAAAAAGGTTGGGAACCACTCATTTAAGTAAAAATATCATGAAGGAAAAACATGGATTGGCAAATTAATGACAAATGATTATTAATAATTGATATTGCAGGCAATTTGTTAAACGGTTCCTTTCCACCCCAAACTGTGACAATAGAGGAAGGCTCCGTGGTTGACAACTAATTTGAAGTCCTCGCTCAAAGCTATTTGGCTTACGACTGCAGAAAAATAATCCTAACCAGCCACTTCTGCTGCAGGAACAAAGCATTGAGGCAGAATTGCAACTCCTTAAATCTGGAGGGATATAAGAGGAAGTTCCCCCACATGACTTGGCACATGACCTCCTCCAAAAGTTACTTTTCTAACTCTAAGGAGTGAACTGCTAGAGGTCAGGAGCTGACCAAGTACTCACACACAGGCCCAAGTGTGGTCTTTTTCTCTTTTATCCACGTGCAGTTGTTTGATGAGGCCTTTACAGCAGCCCTCTGTCCTGCTGAGGCTATGTGTGCTGGGGTGGGTTCTCATTGTGTGGAATGCAGAGGATTTTCTCACTGTGGCTCTGTTGTGGGGAGCTGAGCCATTAGAGATGAGTAAGCAGTATGCAGATGTTTGAAGCACAGTCAGCGGTGACGATAAGGGCCCCATTCTTTTCTTCCAGTAATTAACACTTGTACTTGTTGTACTGCTTGTTCTATTTGATGTTCACCACCGATGACGTTGACTTTCAGAGTTCCTGGAGGGCGGGGTCGGCCACGTGGAGATGCTGTTCAGGTGTAACTATTTAGCCCTCGTGGGAGGAGGAAAGAAACCCAAGTACCCAACCAACAAAGGTATGTTTTGGTTTGTTGATGGATTGCATTTTTTTGTTTCTTTTTTACAATGCCAGCAGTATTGTTTGCAACGGACTAATGCCAGGCCTCTTTTCTGACAAATGATTGCTTGTAGTTGTAGTAAATCACTGAATTTCCTCAAAAAAGACAACATAAGAAAATGAAAAGACTTTAATTTAATTTCCAAAAAGTAAAGAAAGTTTTCTGTTGCCTGCAGTAGGCAGTGGTGTTACTTATAAAATGTTTGTGTATGTGATTATAGGCCTTTGGCAGCCGTTACACACCCATAAACTAAAAGTGGAGTTATTGTGACAGTGGATAGTGTTAAAGGAGGCTGTTCAATGTTTGTAGCGTTTCAGTCAGCACCATCAGACCTGCAGCAAATACTCTCTACTGCAGCTAAAGTCGCTACAAAGCTCATAATGGGAGTTAATTTGAGCAAAAATTGCATTTTTTTTGTCAGCTAATCCATCCATGTGTTAATTCAATTAATTACATCATATGGAGTTATTTTTGAATAATAAAATAAGCTATGTTCTAGGTCATATTATCCCTGCTGGATTACCATTATACTAGCACACTTTTGGCCAGTATGAATGTGACACCGGTAATAAATTGCTCTCTATGTAGTATTAAAAGGTTTTGTACTTGGTGAACCCTGCAGGAATTAGCACCCCACTTGGCCCATTTTACTTATGTCACTGTGTTGAATATTTTTCCTTTTTGGCACTCTAGTGATGATCTGGGATGACCTGAAGAAGAAGACCGTTATTGAGATTGAGTTCTCAACAGAAGTCAAAGCAGTGAAGCTTCGGCGCGACAGGTAAAACTAAAAGTCCCACCCTGAAGGCTGAAATGGACTTGAAAGCAACTTTTAAAGCTGTTCAGGGATTGTCTTCTGTCATTTTGTCGATGGGATTTATTTCATCATTGGTGTTGCAATAGAATTGTTGTAATATATCAATGAGCAGATGGGAGGTTCCTCTTAAGGCACAGCTTTGTGACAGACATACAACGCTCTTTCACATGTTTCTTGACTTAATCACACAGCAGTACTGAGGTGATGAAGCAGCCATACTAGTACTTTACTTGGTATCTGTTGATTCTCCCATTGGTTGTGAGTTGAGCTGTTTTTATCCCTGGGGGTGTCAGATTAATAGTACACTTGAATGCTATGAGAGTAGATTTTTGGACATTTAGTTAAGATTTTAGTGTGTTTTGTTTTCAGGATTGTGGTGGTCCTGGACTCAATGATCAAAGTCTTCACCTTTACCCACAACCCCCATCAGCTGCATGTGTTTGAGACCTGCTACAACCCCAAAGGTCAGTCCACTCTGTTCACTGATTTCAAGTCTGTTGTGCTTTACACACTGGTTACACTACATGACTGTATCAGAGTAAGATCACTGTACTGTTCACACTACACAACCCTCTGTGTTGTAATCAGGAGTCTTGAAGTTATTGAGGTTTTCACTGTGGTGACTGATCCCCAGGAGGTCCCACACTACAAGACCTTTCACAACGAGTCTGTCTGGTCTCCAAACTACGTTTCATCAGGAGTCATTAATAACAAGCACATCATATTTGATTAGGAAAGTAGTTTAAAAACACGCACTAGAAGCTAAGTACAATAAGCTGATAATTCTCATGATCTGTCAGCGACAGTAATCAATACACACATTATTGAAGTATTTATCAAACTTATAACTAACAGCAGTTAACATCAGACCATCTTATCATACTATAGAATCAATTTATTGTTTTGAGTCATTGTTTAAGAAAGAATTTCCAAACTCTGATTTCAGCTTCTCAGATGTGAATATTTTCTGGATTCTTTACTCGTCTTTGGGTTGTGGACAAAACAAGACATTTGAGGACTTCACCTTGGGCTTTGAGAAACATTTTCTGGACAACTAATCGATTAATTGAGAAAATAATCAACAGTTTAATAGATAATGAAAATAATCATTAGTTGCAGTCCTAAGAATCTTTTAGACCCACACTTTATTTTAAGTTGTAGTTCCAAAGCTTCCTATTGGATGCTGCAGCCATAAAGAGTCCGTATAAATGTGACACAGCTGTACGTTCTAAGTGTTTCCCTCGTCCTCCGCAGGTCTGTGCGTGCTGTGTCCCAACAGCAACAACTCTCTGTTGGCGTTCCCCGGGACCCACTCAGGCCACGTGCAGATAGTGGACCTGGCCAACACAGAGAAGCCCCCTGTTGATATTCCTGCCCATGAGGGGGCGCTGTGCTGCATCGCTCTAAACCTGCAGGGCACGAGAATAGCTACTGCATCAGAGAAAGTAAGCCAACCTAGAGCAGAATTGAACTGACAACAGAAAAACAATACTGCATGTTTGAACACTTGTTCTGTGTTTGCTGACTTGCGACTAAGCCGTGTTGTGTGTCCACAGGGGACTCTCATTAGAATTTTTGACACATCTGCAGGTCAGCTCATACAGGAGCTAAGACGAGGCTCTCAGACGGCGAACATTTACTGGTGAGCATTGAGCAATAATGCTGATCACATCTTTACTTTATAACATTGCAACAGTTCATGTGCATGACATTAAATTAACAAGATAGCCAGATAAAACTGATGTTGCTGTAGAAGATTGCTAAAAACATCTGCAGAATTGTCCAAAAACAATTCTTGACAACACAAAGACAAAGCAGGCTGTGTGCAGACAGCTCTTCCAGACATTGTCGTCTCATTTGCACCACTTGCTCTTCAAAGTCTCAAGCACACTCAGGATATTGACAAGTTGCGGCTGCACCGGCTGCACTGTGACTAAGAGTTACATTTCTCCATCTCCTCTTCAGTTCTCTGCAAGGTGTGTCAGACCACTTCCTTGCAGAGTCACTGTGAGAGTGTGGATGATGTAATAACAATAAAGGAAGTCTTATATGGTAACCTCATTAAAAGTTGATGCAACACTGCATGTTTTACAACCATATTCAAAGTGTGTGAGATTGAGAGAATCTGCTGCACCACATCAGTCGTTCCTACCTGGTCTAGCTTTAGGGTCTATATTTCCCATTAGACTTTAGTCGGTCCACACATCAGTTCAGTTAACAACCCAGTCTTTTTTTATTTCCATTCCAGTTTTTTGTTGTTATTTACCAAGTTGACCCTGTCAGAATGGACACATGGCAGACAGGGGTTATCAGTATGTGACTGAGCTCATGAAAGCTTGTGGTTGTATTGTTCTCATCATTCCATTTGCTCTGTCTTTTTCAGCATCAATTTCAACCAGGATGCTTCTCTCATCTGCGTGTCCAGTGACCACGGCACAGTGCACATCTTTGCTGCGGAGGACCCCAAAAGGAACAAACAGTCGAGGTCAGTCTCTGCTGAAGGCTTTTTATATAAATGATCTGTCTACTGCATGATAATGAACTCTTGTCTTTATCTGGATTAAGATAAATATAAAACTAAATGTTGATATTGGAGCCTGTGTTCTGTTTGTGTCCTCTCTGCAGTTTGGCATCAGCCAGCTTTCTCCCCAAATACTTCAGCTCCAAGTGGAGCTTCTCCAAGTTCCAGGTCCCCTCAGGCTCTCCCTGTGTGTGTGCCTTTGGAACAGAGCCCAACGCTGTCATAGGTGAGCTCAGTTCACAGCGCACAGCTTTTCAGGATGCAAGACTGTCTCATCTTGTCACAGAGTCAGAGGGATTTTACAGGAGACTCATGGGTCGCTCTGTATGCTGGTTGACATTATCAGGATTGCTGCAGGTCATGGGATATCTGTACTATGATATTTGAAGGATCAGCTCTCTCTTGGCTCTTATTTTGGTAGTTTTTGGCCATCATTTCTATCAGTGATAATACATTAACTGTTGACTACTGGGTCGGAGCAAGAAACACAATCCTACTTACTCAGATGAGAAAACGAATAGGAACAGTAAGATTATTCCCAACTTGATATTGAGTTCTCTAATTGTTGTTTGCTTTGTTTCCCCTAACCAACAAGTATCAAGTAACTAACTGATCAAAGAAATGTGTTGAAATATGTTCTGTAAGTGGGGCTGCATCAGTCTCTGTCATGACTTTCATCATTTCTTATGTTGTCAGCCAGGTAGCTTCGCAGCTATGTAGGAAAATGATATTCCCATTCCTGATCCCACAAAGCTCTGTAGAAACCGCCATCAATGAGCCCAACATAGCCCAGACGCCAAATATCAATACTGTTCATATTCTACTTCCACACAACAATCCATGCATCAGGGTTGCCTGACTGCATCGGACCAGTACAACTGACCAGTATCATGAATTGGATGGAGTTGTGAGTTGAGCGTATCGTTGCCTGGGAGACGCAGTGTTTTTGTTACAGTGGGGGCAAAGAGAGGAGGTGTGGATGGTGACATTGACTGTTGGTCATTTTAGGGTCACCCATGAACATGCCTTAACACCGTCGCTCTCAGCAGCACGCACTGTAACATAAAATACCAACAGCTTGTCTGTGTGTGGCCTCAGTGTGCTGACTCATTTCTCTCCCTCCACCATGCAGCCATTTGTGCTGACGGCAGCTACTACAAGTTCCTGTTCAACCAGAAGGGGGAGTGTTCCAGAGATGTGTACGCCCAGTTCCTGGAGATGACCGATGAGAAAATATGACCTTTGATCCCACCGGAGACTCTCTATTACACAGCCTGTTTTTTTTTTTTTTTT